AATATTATTTTCGATTTAAATAGATAAAATAAAAAACTTAATATTATTATGTTGGTTAAAATAGAAAATATAAGGGAATACCTTAATTAAATATAATAAAATAATTTTATTTTCATAAAGTTAGAAAAATAATACATTTCTACGTAAATTTATGTTATAAGTTTTTAAATTATAGGAATTTAAAATACTTGAAAAATTAATGAAAAAAGACAATGACTCTATAATTATGAAATACAATCACAATACAATAAAACTTGTTTTTGTTTTTTTAAAAAAAAAATCAAATCAAATATATAAAGTTGTAGGTAGTATAAGTTTTATACATATATATTTTAAAAACATAATTAAAAAATATATTTTTTGAAACATTTAGAGTCTGTTTGACAGACATGATAGGGGGTGATATCACCCCATTTCCTATTATTTTCTTCTTATTATAGAGCACCCGCATCGGGGTCATTATTTTGGCGTTTAAACGCACCAAGGCCGTTCAACAAGGATGCTAGCCATTCATTTAAAAGTGGGGTCCCTTGTCCATTCAATGTAATGAACGGCATTTTTAGTGCTTGTATTATTTTCTTTATTTGTTTTTTGTTTTCATTTATAATTATTTAATCAATTTGTTTTATACATGAGTAGATAGTAGGTCCCATTTATGTATTTAAATGAATGTGTAGGGATGTCGGTGTGTGTTTAAATGGAGAGAAAATTAGTGAAAAATGATGTGGAGATGATGTGTATGTGAGAGAGTGTAACTTTTTTATTGAATGAATGGAAAAAAAAATTAACCAATGTGGATGCTCGTACTTTGTTTCGTTTAAATATAAAAGCCTTTGAAAAAACCCTGGCCCGACATTTAATCAAGTTTTTTAATTATAGCATATCCCACCTTTTAGCTGGGATGTGTAATCCATCAAAGTTTTGTCTTTAAATTTCCACAAATGCCCCTTATTTCTTTTGTTAATCAGTTTCTTCCTATGCTCTTTGGACGGGAGCCATTGCAACACCGATCTTACTAATCTTATACTCTGCTCGTACCGCTTTTATCAAGTAGCCGATAGACGAATACGGAAATGGAGCAGGGATTCTTGTTGGACTTCTCATGATTTCTATAGAGAGGTTGAATTTGGTTGTCACTGTAATTTCGATTTATCTTCGGTCCTGTAAATAATGACGACGAGGTTAATGAAAGATCGAGTTTTTTTTAAAAAAAAAAAAAAATTGGGTGGTTTGTTATCTTCACTTTGGTACACGTTGCTATTACAATGAATTAGCCATTTCTTGGTGTTAGTTTGTGATATCTGACCTTGAATTTTGAATGGTTACTATTATTTGTTTATTTAAATGGTTTTGATGTTAAAATTTATGAATTCCGATGTTAATGGCTTCTAGTTTTTGTTTTCTGGCAGCTAAAGATGATGGCCTTGAAAAAATGGGTTCGAATTAAGGTTAGGGATTTTTTTGGGATGAATTTGATTGATGGTTTGGGGGAAAGAGATGAGGTGATGAATGTCAACATTTGAAAATTTAACTTTAGCTAGAGGGCAAAAAAGTAATCTTAACATAAAAGCTATACTTATCAATTATGAACCAAACAAGTTAATATGCCTTTTTTATCAAATGATATCACTTCATTTTTTCTATGGGAATTAATCAAGTTCAATCACTTAAAGTAACCAAACTCACCTTTAGTATAAAAACACGGTCACAATTTGAATTAATCATCACTTTAATTCAAATATGTGATTTGGGAACGAAATTGGTCGGGTCACTGTTCAAAGCTATAAAGTAGTCATTAAACAACACAAGGACAATTATGAGGATAACTGTGGTTGCTGCAAATTTGGACAACCTCTTGTTCTTCTGTCTCAGAGTTTTATTGTCATCCTCTAAAGCATGAACCCTTCCCAGGAGCCTAGGTATAATGGCTTTTGCTTAGCAACAAATCGGAGGGCCATTCCACTAAAAAAACTTGCATCCTCCTATCTACATTGATCGAGGGATCTTAATATGAAGTAAATTTTCAAGAAGAATCCTACACCACGACAAATTTTGAATTACTAATCTTCCATGACGAACATGAGTGAAACCTCCTACCGGGATGATCATCAGTCCACGAGGTACGAAGGACAGCCATTTTCCGCACTGATAGTCAAGGGAGCTCGAAATGAAAGATATTTTTTCATAACTTTTCTTCCACGATGTAGAGCTTCAAGAAAGAAGAAATGCTTTTGGGATTAGGGTTCGATTTTGACTTTGGGGCTCGCTAGTTTGAGGCTCAATTTTTTAATTAAAATTCATTTAAATTATTCAAAAAAAAAGACATGAAAACAATTATGGAGTCCACGCTAGGTAATTGTTCGAAAATCAGTCCACATCCGCCTAATCGATATTGATATTTGCCAACTCAGCCAATTCTAATCGGATTCCGATGATCGAGATCAAAATTGGACTAAGTTAACTACATTTAGAAGTTTTTGTACCAATTTTGAATCGACCTAAATTACTGAACTAAAATGGCAAACGACCTAAATTTATTGGACTAAAATTATAATTTTATCTAATTAAAAACTATAGTACTAGTGTCCCAGGGCATGAGTGCACTTGGTTGATGGTGGAGAGGTCAAGTCTTGCTGAATCTAGAGGTCAGATGTTCAATCATGACTATCGTGAGAGTTGGAATCATGACTATCGTGATAGTTGGGGATGGGGCTCTCCAACTCTCCTTGGTGGATTAGTCCCGCCTCTCTACGCGTGGAGTTTGTAGCCCATTTGGGCCATGGACCGTTTAGGCCCGTACCCCCTGGTGGGGCTCGTGGCTTGGAGTGCGTGGTGAGACTCCAAATGAAAAAATAAAATAAAAAATTAAATGTAGTACTAGGCTCTTGCCAATGTGAGCGTGTAGCAGACGCGCCGTTGGCTCAATCCCTAGAAAAATCTGGATTTGTGATTTCTAATTCATCTTTGCCCTATATTCCTCACCCGCTTAGCCAAGTCTGTGCGCCTTCAATCAGTCAATCGAGAGGGTTTCTCTCTGTAGCTCTAGCTCACTTTCTCTCTCTAAAACCACCCATTTGATCATCAATGGCCGACAAAACTGATTTTAATTCTCGCCCCAACAAGACACAGAAAGGTTCGAACTTTTTTTGTTTCTTTTTTTCTGTTTTTTGGTCACAACCCATACAAAGGATTCGTGTCGATAGTGGGTTGCGATTAGTTTTCCCAATGCGGTATCAGGTCTGTTCTTATTATTCTTGGTTCATCTCTTGAGATGCTGATTGGCGGATGGGGATTTGGCAGTTGTAAATGGCTTACATTGCTGTTTTCATGATATGTTGTTTATCTTGTTGGAGTATTATTTATCTCAGTGTGTGATACAGTTGAGTGCTACTTAGTTTGATGACATAATTGCTAAATTTTTTTTGTGTTAGTATTGTGCAATGGGTTTAATTTATCGTATGAAATAATCTAAAATTTTAACAATTTTAATTGCCTATGTTTTTTAGCAAGCCGTGTGTACTGTGTTTTTCCATAACAATGTAAGAAGTGGTCGCCTTCGATTTATTATGGCTTATAATCAGTCCCTTGTTGTTAGTTACATATATTTTTTTTTTTCTTTTCATTATGTTACCCTGAATATGTAGGTTATTTGACAGCCAGGATTGCACATGTAACAAGGCAAGCAATACATTGCTGACTATTTCTATATGATGCATCTTTCTTACATTGTGATCCAGAAAATATTGTATCATTATACTAATAGTCGAAAATTTGATTTGTTAAAGCTTTACATTTTATTATTGTTTTTTCACATAGATAATTTACTTAAAAGTTATTGGATAAGATTATTCTAAAGCTATTAGAATACACTGCATCTTGTAACATGTTTTTGGAGCTTATTAGATTAGATAGTACTTTTATCATTTTTTATTGGTGATAATGGAGGGTGAGGTGACAAATGGAAATGCCGTATCTGGTTGATTCAGGAAAACGAACCAGATTTAGAAGGTAAACAAGTTAGGTGGTCATGGCTAAAAAAGGAAAAAGATATTAAGCTTGTACTTTGTGATTCTTTTGGCATGTTGGAGGAGACGGTTGGTCCCATTACAACAATACTTTTGAAAAAGTCAGTCTTTTCCAGTTGGAGCTTTAAGAACAACTAATTTAGTAAAACATAAGAGGTCCTTTTTTGTTTCTATCCATTTGGTTGTCTTTGTTTCTATCCATTTGGTAGTCTTAGGGCATGCTTCTATGTATGAGTCAGCTCTCTGCAACATTTACACGAAATAAGTGGCCATCTATGCTTGGCACATTTCTTGTTTTATTGAAGTCTTGGTTCATGACATTACCATCATTTGATAGCCTCAGTGCTGCAACTTTTTTCGTGAAGTTTGTAAGTGTGGAGGGGAAGGAAGAAATATTGTTTTCTTGGTAGACGAGTTGATTAGGTAACATGTGGAGTATCCAACAATCTTGCTTAACTTCTCCTGTTATGTTTAACCAATTTTTTATCTAGCTGTAATTTTGGATGATGAAAAATTGGTCAATGAATGTAGTTTATCTTTTTATGCATGTGTATAAACTTTAATTGGTCAAAACCATCTTATAAAATAACTAGCTTCGTCTTTTTAGTTTATAGCTAAAAATAGTCATTATTTGAATTCCTTCTGAACATTTCGTATATAAATAAAGTTAAAAGTATATTAATAGTGATCTCTGATTCATATCTCAAAACAGTTGTAATTTAGGATCACGCTATGGTTTTCGTTTCCTTGTGATCTATATATAAAGTTTAAAGCTCTCTTCTTCCATGATTTTCTTCTTACCTTGCTTTTTATTCTCGGTAGTGAAGTTGTATCAGGAGAGCGTGATACTTGTGAAGAAAATGATAAACTCACTCTAACTTGCATAGATTATTTACCTACTCAGTTTGTTTTATTTTCCTTGCAATTCTATTCAATTTTTCCTATTTTTCTCTCTTCATAATTCATGTAGATGTCCATGCACCCGACGATTCCATCCCGCTTTCACCTCAGTGGCTTCTGCCTAAGCCGGGGGAGAACAAGGTTGGAGCCGTTACAGGGGTTTGTTATTATCTAGCTTTTTACTTGCCCACGCATGTTTAACACATGGAATCTGATTATGTTCTTTCACTCAAACTTCTCATTTCATATGCCTCATTTTAGCACTTCCTCTTTTGTTGTTCGGTTTTTCAGGAGAATCATTTTAGTCCTCTCCCGGGTCACACGAACCGCCTCGTTGCTGTGAAACCAACTGGAGAAAAAGATGATTCGGTTGATAATAACCCTAAGAAGAAAGACGTTTTTCGTCCTTCCGTGCTGAACGTAAAGCCTGGCAGTCGGGACAGCTGGCGTGATGAAGAAAGGGACAGCCGCAGGGCGGATTCATCGGGCGGAAAGCAAGTGGGCAAGTGGAATACCCAGTGGGGCCACAATGACAAGGTGACAGACGGGAAGTCGGGGTATTCTGGTAATAAGGACGATAGTGTGTTCATTGACAAGGGGCCTACCCATTTTACTCCTACTCACGGGAAAAACGAGAAGGATGGAGTGGATCACTATCGGCCTTGGAGGCCGAGTTCTACTTACAGCCGTGGTAAGGGGGAAAATCCGCCACTTGTCATGTCTTATGGCAGGGGAAGGGTTGGCTCTGGGGGGAATTCGGTTACCCACACGGCCAATCATTTGCAGCCACGTGGAACTCTCGTGGCGAAAAAAGGTGAAACTGGCTATGGGGATTCTGGTTGTCTGTTGTTGTCTTATAACAGGACAGAATTGATTGATTTATACAAGGGAACAGATATGATAGGTTACGGTAGTAAGTGTTTGGATTGTGTTGTGTCAGTACCTTCGCTTACTCAGAATGAACCTGCTGAACCGCTGGCCTTTTGCGAACCTACTCCTGAAGAATTGGTAATTCTTGTTTGCCTGATGGAAGTTGGATATATTGTGTTGATTTTTTAATTTGATTGTGAGGGGGTTTTCTTTGTAGGCTATTCTGAAGGGAATTGGCAATGGAGATATCATTAGCAGTGGTGCTCCACAGGTCAATAAAGACGGATCTGCTGGCCGAACCACAACTGACTTTATGCATACGAGGCGAAATAGGCTAGGTAATATACATATTATATGTATTGCATGCCTTTAGTTCTTATCCTGCAATTTTTCGCTTATCCTTGTTGAGTGTATCCTCTTTCTTCATTCTCTGTTGCCGTTAATTGCTTGAGAAAGTGATGGTAAGGATGGGTTAACTTTTCTTTCAGATGATTCCAGACATGAAGCCCCGAACAACCCTGATGGTTACTCAGAATATTCGGAAGCTTCGGCCCATGGAAAGCACATTCGTCGTTGGCCCGAGACGAAAGTTCAGACAATGCAAGATTACAAGACCTCTTCTGACCACAATTTGAATGTTGACGGTAACTCTTTAGTAGTTCATTTTTATTGTTCGAGGCCATGTACTGAGGCTGGAGACAAAAAAAATGTTGTGATGACTTCTTAAATTAACATTTTAGTTGCACTTCATTCAAATTTGTCATTCCCATATCTTCTCCAAAACACATGTTGAAAATGTTGTAGATTGGTACCGTATCATTTGTGGATCAACTTTACCTGATATTTATTTTTAATGGCTCCTGTGTTTATCTCTAATATGATATCTTCTATCTTTTTTTTCTTATCTTTTGCCATCTCATTATTATTTTTCTCTGTATACAGCCATAAAGGAAGGCAATGCTATTCATAGGAAGAATGATGAGCGCACTCATTTAGCTTCTGATTGGAGAGAGGGATCTCTGGATATTCCGAAAGATCTTAAAAATGTATGGCAGAATAATAATATGATCGATTCACCTAACATCAATAAAGGACCACCCAAATGGCAGGTGGGTGATGAGCCAGTTTTGGGAAGGCAACCACTTGCAGCTATTAACAGGGAAATTGAACCACATATGACTTCTCAACCTTCTCCAGAAGACCTGGTTCTTTATTATAAAGATCCGCAGGGTGAAATTCAAGGCCCTTTTGCTGGGAGTGATATCATTACATGGTTTGAGTCGGGATATTTTGGCATTGAATTGCAAGTGCGTTTAGCCAATGCTTCGGCTGACTCTCCTTTCTACTTACTTGGAGATGTTATGCCCCATTTGCATGCCAAGGCTCGTCCACCTCCCGGATTTAGTACACCCAAGCCAAATGAAATCCATGATACTTCTGGTAGATTAAACTATACTACTGCTGGAAAGCTTCATACAGTTGTGGGTGAGGCTGATTTGTTGAAGAATGATTCGAGATATCTGGAGTCATTGATGGCTGGCAGTACGAGTGCTGTTCCCTTTGAGAAGCTTGTTCTTTCAGAAGGTTTGTCTATTTTTATTAGTTGGACTGTCTATTTGTTTTATTACAGTATATTTTTTCGTTGATTTGAGCTAGTCACTATTTAAACAGGTTTGGGAACTAACCGCGGGGAAGATCCTTATTTACTGGCCAAGAAGTTGGCATTGGAAAAGCAACAGTCTGCACTAAATCCTTATTCACTTTGGCCTGGGGGAAATTCTGCTTCGGTTACAGACAATGCTCTTGCACAGCATCGTACACAGAATATTCCTCCACAATCTGCTCTTAGTATATTGCAACAGAGACTGCAGCAGCCACAGAACACACCTTTGAGCAATCCGTTACCCCAATCATTGGATAACTCATCCAGGATAATTCCTTCGGATAACCTCTTAGCGTCTGGTATTCCTCAAGATCAGCAGATTTTAAGTTTGTTGCAACAGCAGTATTTGCTACAGCAGGTTCAGCCCCAGACTCCAGTTGCGGCCCAGCAATTGTCACTTTTGGATATGGTGCTTAAGCAGCAACAGAAGCAGGAAGAGCAGCAACTGTTAATGCGCCAGCAGCAACAATTGCTCTCGCAAGTGCTTCTATCCAAGCATCACGTAAATCAACCATTGAGCGAGCCTTCAATTTCCCAGCTGCAGCAAACTGGTGGTTTTGCAGCTGCTAATGTTAATGTGGGTCACACCCATTTTCAAAACCATGATATATTTCAGATTGGTTCACAGAACGTGCGAGATGAAAGTAAAAATGCTGCTGGTTTTGTTTTGCCTCCTAATGATTCGAGCAGAAATATAGGCTCAGAAACTTCAGAAAGTTCAATGCATCTGCCACATCAGATTTTTGCTAATCTTTCTAGCACGACAGATGATAGGGAGCATTCGGGAGATTCTGTCCCAAAGCAGCAATATACAATTGATCATAAAAATAATTCAGTGTTTCATGAAGCTTTGGATGCATTTGAAGAGACTCCGGCTGAGGAATCAGCAGAAAAACCGCAAGGAAATGAAGAACAGCACACTGCTGATTCATCCTTGGTAAAGGAAGTTAAGGTCCCTGAAGCACTGGGGAAGAAGTCAAAAAAGCAGAAGTCTTCTTCCAAGGCTCCTGTTGACTCAGTAAAGGGTACTGTGACAAAGTCACAACAGTTGAAGTCATTGGAATCTGAAGGAACAATCTCTGGTAATGCTAAATCTGAAGCAACAGAAAAGGAGAAGATGAAGAACAAAAAATCAGCTGAGGATGTGGGGCCTCATAATTATGCAGATGGAGTGACAACAGAGACAAGTGCTCGGCCAGGATTTGCGCTCCCTCAGGCAAATGCCGGGCAAAGGGCATGGAAGCCTGCTCCCGGTTTTAAGCCGAAATCATTACTAGAGATACAACAGGAAGAGCAGAGGAGAGCACAAGAACAAGAAGAGGCAGCTGTTACTGATATCTCAACTTCTCTAAGCTCCATGAGCGTCTCAACCCTTTGGTCTGGGGTAGTTGCAAATTCAGATTATAATGCATCAGAGGAAACAAGTACTGAGATAAATTTTGCAAAGTCTGATAGTGCCTCTGTCCTGAAGAACAAGAATAACCAAAACGAAGATCTATGCTGGGATGCTAATGTTTCCAAATTAGGGGACAGCATGCCTTTGACATCAATTATGACTTCCCAATCTGATACGATTGTTGATGATGACTTTATTGATGCTAAAGATACTAAAAAGAGCCGTAAAAAGTCTGCCGGAGCTAAAAAGTCGCCTCCCATTGTTACTGTCACCAATGTGCATGTTGGAACAAGTCCAAATGATAAGAGTAAACTTTCTCGGCAAAGGCAGCAGCAGAAGGAAGTATTACCTCCTCTGCCGCCATCTGGCCCTTCCTTGGGAGACTTTGTTACCTGGAAAGGGGAGTCTGCTAGTCCTCCTCCTGCCCCTGCTTGGTCTGATTCTGCAAAACTCAGTAAGCCTGCATCATTGAGGGACATCCTTAAGGAACAAGAGAAAAAGGTTTCTTCTTCACAGCCGTTGCCAACTCCTCAGAAGCCTACAACAACAAATCCATCTGCTTTTGCAAGTTTTCCTTCATGGTCACATTCTTCTTCTCCTGCAAAGTCTGCCGCCGCAGTGAGTATTAACTCACAAACTTCCTCTAAGTCGAAACATAATAAAGTCGAGGATGATCTATTCTGGGGACCACTAGAGCAACCGAAGCCAGATGATAAGCAGTATGATTCTTTTCATGCTCTCATTTCCTGTGATATTTTTTTTATGTGTTCCGTTTTCAATATCTCGAGATAGACTATCTGTTGTTTGATTTACTGTATATTGCCTCCACATACCTGTGCATGTCGTGCTTGATATTCCGTGTCGTTGAAATCTTGTGGTTTCTTGAACAATGGTTGTTTTTCCATTGATTGGGGTTTGTCTTCTTCTTTCTCGACTTCCTTAACCCAAGTTGGGGTTGCACCTAATGTAGAACTTTTTATGTGGCTTTATCATTTTTCGAAATGCGAAAGATGGCCCATGGCCTATCTGGGTGAAGAGTTGTTCTGTTCTGTCTTTAAACTAACCATTAATTGGGTACTTTGGGACAATTACAGGACTTCCAACTTCGCATGGTCTTTGTGCTTGCTTGTAGCATCATGGTTGTTGTTGGGCCGCATCTTATTGTTTTTGTTATTGTTATCTGTATTTTATATATGAAAGGCTATTATTGTCTTTCTTGTGTTCTTTAGGTCGGAGTTCCCTCAACTTGGGTCACAGGGAAGTTGGGCAAACAAAAGCACCCCGGTGAAGGGAAACCTTGGAGGCACTTTGAACCGTCAGAAGACTGCTGGCGGCAAAGCTGCAGATAATAACACATTTTCTGTTTCAGCTTCTTCAGCTCCATCATCCCTCAAAGGTAATAAAAATTCCATAACTAAGCATTCAGGTAAAAGATCATTTTTGGCGTTAACTTAAATTCCTATTCAGGAAAAAAAAAAAAGGAAAAGAAGGGACTATATAAGTATATTTATCGGGTACTGTCTTGTCACAGAGGCCGGCGACTTCATGGAATGGTGTGAGAGCGAGTGCATCAGACTCATTGGGTCGAAAGGTATATAAATTATCTATTTTATTTTTCTACTCTGTTTTATGCTTATATTTCGAATACAAAAAATTACACATCATTTATCTTTTTGCTGTATGATTACAATATTACTCTGTTCCCTTAATCTGTCATTTTGATCCTTGTCAGACACAAGTATACTGGAATACTGTCTGAAGATATCGAGATCCGAGGCTGAGACACTACTGATAGAGAATCTTGGCTCGTTCGACCCAAACCATGAATTTATCGACAAGTTTCTGAGCTACAAGGATTTTCTGCCTGTAGAATCTAGCAGTGGGCCCACAAAAGCAGGAAAAAAGAAGGGGCAAAAAGGGAAGAAAGTGAGCCCATCCGTTTTGGGGTTTAATGTCGTGAGCAACCGGATTATGATGGGGGAGATTCAAACTGTGGATGAGTGATGAGAGATTCAGTTTGCTGTGTTTTTGTACATACATTTTGCTATAAGAGTGAGTGAGTTGACTATAGACTGTACATGGTTTTCTGCTAGCCAGAGGATTTTTTTGTTCTTTTTAAATTATCTTTACAGAGGGGTGCAGCAGCTTTAGTATGCCTGCCTTTTTGGAATTTTGCTGTAGTTTTGTTTTTGAACTTTAGTTTTAGAAGGTAGCTCTTTTTATTTTATGAATGAATATATTTCGACATGTTATTATTATTATTATTATTATTATTATTATTATTATTATTATGTATCTGTTGTGAATTGTATAAATTAACAATTTTTCTAATTTTTAGTGGTTGTTGTATGTATTGTATGCATAATGGGTAAAGCTTTTACCTTTTGTTTTAATATTTTAAATATGGACAGTGCACTTTGCATTATTGATTCGTTTGATATATTTTGTGTATTGTCTGTTGCAAATGGAGCTGTAAGAGTTATTGTTGACAATTTTCCTGGTATAGTGCTAATAATGGACTAGATCAAAATGGCTCAATTAAATTCTAGTGCTTCTTCTATTAGTGAAGTTTCTAGAAAAAAAAAAAATATATCAAATGATGCAATGCACCTTGGGTCGCTACGGAAACAGTCTCTTTGTATAATTACAAAGGTAAGGTCTGCATACAACTGACCCTCCAGACCCCAACCTGTTGGGAATATACTGAGTATGTTGTTGTTGTTCTTGTTGATATTTTTTGTGTAGCTCCAGTAGAAGTCAAATATGTTATACTTATACCAGGTTTCAATTGTTAAAAGATCTATCTGGTTATAACTCTGGTTATAACTCTGTTGAGTTGATATCATCTGTCATCTGTAGATTATATTTCTTAGTTCATCTGCTCCGCGACATAAAGTGTTGTGGTTTCTTTCTCCCTATTGATATTAATATTTTTCAATGTTTGGTGTAATTGCAAGGTGGATAGAATGGATGAGCTTAAAGCTGGTATTTTTAAGTTTTATTTTTTGTGTTTATGCAAATGATATATTATGCTTTTAGTACTGTCTTGAAGCTTAAACGTGATGGATAAGGTGTTTGTTGTACTTTATTAGGAGTGTTTATGTGGTTTTTTTGTTCTGGATTTCTCTTATTTACTCCAGTTATAATAGTAGTAAGTAGTTGTTGTGTGTATGTTGTGAGCAAGATGGTTAAAGCCTTTACACATCATAAGATATGTTTATGTAGAGTATATCTGAATATGTTTTATTTCCCCAGTAAGTAGCTGTTGTGTGTATGGTTGTGAGCAGAATAGTTAATGCTTTTGCACATCATATTTATCAGAACATATGTATAGTAAGTAGAATATAACACATCATATTTATCTGACTATGTAGAGTATATCTGAACATATATTTGGTAATCAATTCATTCCAACATTTTAGCTAACACATTCCATATTATTAGCATACTCTTTCATTTGCTACGTACTTATAGGAATTGGAGTTGCTCATACCAAATCCAAGAATGAAGCATATCAAAATTCTCAATAGCAACGACAACAACAAGGGAGATTCGATAATAAGCCCGATTAAAAACTTATTGACCGAGGGCCAACCGGAGATGTTTAAGAAAACCGTGTTTGGCAAATTACTGAACATACCTCACTGTAAATTCCAGACTGAGTTAGTCAATTTGATTTTGTTACGTAAGGTACGTCAACGTAAGTTGGATGAGGTCTGGGTCAATTTTGGTGGGAAGATGCTCTGTTTTGGCATAGAAGAGTTTGCATTGATATCGAGAATGACATGCATTGTCTCTAGTAAGAAATTATCCTTCCCTGCAGTGACTGGCCGGCTCTACGACACATACTTTTACAGGTTTCGATTGAGCAGGCAGAAGATATGAAGTCAATTTATCTCTAAGGTATAGAAGAATGATGAATGCGCGGTGAAGTTCGCAAAGCTACTTCTATTAGCAAATTTTTTACTTGCAACACATGACTCCCTGTTTGTTTGACAGCTCGACATAATTGATAGCGATGAGTGTAATGAATATGCATGGGGAAAGAGGTGTTTGAATACACTGTTCACTATTTAAAGAAGACGTTGCCCAATCACTGTTCACTATTTGAATACACAGGACTCTCTGTTTGTTTGAATACTCTACATAAACGTTAGATAAATATGATGTGTTATATTCTACTTACTATACATATGTTCTGATAAATATGATGTGCAAAAGCATTAACCATCTTGCTCACAACCATGCATACAACAGCTACTTGGGGAAATAAAACATATTCAGACATACTCTACATAAACATAAGATAAATATGATGTATAAAGGCTTTAACCATCCTGTTCACAACATACACAACAACTACTTACTTGGGGCAAATAAGAGAAATCCAGAACCACATAAACACTCCTAATAAAGTACAACAAACACCTTATCCATCACGTTTAAGCTTCAAGCCAGTAAAGTACTAAAAGCATAATGTCATTTGCATAAACACAGAAAATACAACCTAAAAATACCAGCTTTAAGCTCATCCATTCTATCCACCTTGCAATTACACTAAACATTGAAAAATATTAATATCAATGGGGAGAAAGAAACCACCATTTCTGTCGCAAAGTTGATGAACTAAGAAATATAATCTAACCACATGACAGATGATATCAACTCAACAGAGTTAGAACGAGATAGATCTTTTGACAATTGAAACCCGATATAAGTATAACATACTTGACTTCTACTAGAGCTATACAAAAATACCAAGCGAGTCAATAATGCAAAGTGCACTGTCCATATTCTAAAACAAAAGGTAAAAGCTTTACCCATTCTGCATACAACAACCACTAAAAATTAGAAAAATTGTTAATACATACAATTCACAACAGATACATAATAATAATAATTTTTTTTTTTAAAAACATGTCGAAATATATATATATATATATTCATCAAATAAAAAGAGCTACCTTGTTCTTTTGGGTAGAATTATCGATGTCTTCTGGTGTGTGACCGATTTTTTCTTCAACTCTCGTTTCTTTGAAAAATCCCTTCTACACTTACGCTTTTTTATGTCAAACAATGGGATATCCGAGTCCATCTCAATGTCGTCCTTTAGTTCACTGAAATGTGATTCTTCCTCCTCATCAAGTTCGAATTCGGAATCGTAATCTTTTTTATTATTTGGAGAATGAAATATTTTGGTTTTGCCCTTGTTTACTTGAACAGTCTTTTTCTTAGTGTGGTCGAGCACCTTGTTTTCATTTTTATTTGATTATATGCTCAGAAAAAAAATCGTCGTCTTCTTCCGAATCAACCTCGACAGTGTTCGGATTAGGCTTTGTGGCACGGCTCGGAGCATCCACTTTCTGAAGCAACAACAAACAAACAAAAAACAACATAGTCTTTAGTCCCAAGCAAGTCGGGGTAGGCTAGAGATGAAACCCAAGAGAAACAATGGTAAGAGAAACACAAAAGGACTCGAAACAAAAGAAAGCGGTTGAAACAAAAAGAGAAAAGAGCAAAAGTCACGGTTCTGGCACGTTGATTGCTAGCCTCCAAGCGCTCCTATCCACCGCTAAATCCTTGGAGATATTACAATTTTTAAGGTCTCTCTTAACCGACTCTTCCCAAGTGAGTTTAGGCCGACCTCTATCTCTCTTTACATCCTCGACCCGCTGTAGAACTCCCCTACGCACCGGTGCATCAGGAGGCCTCCGTTGGACATGTCCGAACCACCTCAGCCGATGTTGGACCAGTTTCTCCTCAATTGGAGCCACCCCGACCCTATCTCGAATATCCTCATTCCGTATTCTATCCATTTTTGTGTGCCCGCAGAACCAACGCAACGTACGCATCTCTGCTACACTTAGTTGTTGGACATGTTGCCTTTTTGTAGGCCAACATTCAGCACCGTATAGCATCGCCGGACGAATCGCTGTCCTATAGAACTTACCTTTTAGCCTTTGTGGCACCATCTTATCACAGAGAACGCCCGACGCTTGACGCCATTTCAACCAACCAGCTGCAATTCTATGTCTAACATCAGCATCAATGCCGCCATCCTTTTGTAGCATCGATCCTAAATACCGGGAAGTCTCCTTCTTGGCCACCACTTGCCCGTCCAAGCTAACATCACCATCATCCTGTGAAGCCATGCTGAAAGCGCACGTCATGTACTCGGTCTTCGTCCTACTAAGTCTAAATCCTTTCGACTCTAACGTGTCCTTCCATAACTCTAACTTCCTATTTACCCCTGTCCTACTCTCGTCAACTAGCACCACATCATCAGCAAAGAGCATACACCAAGGGATATCACCTTGTATGTCCCTTGTGACCTCGTCCATCACCAAAGCAAATAGATAAGGGCTCAATGCTGATCCCTAGTGTTGTCCAATTTTAATTGGGAAGTCGCTGGTATCGCCCCCACATGTTCGGACACACGTCGTCGCATCCCTGTACATATCCTTGATGAGTGTAATGTACTTAGATGAGACTTTGTGCTTTTCTAAGGCCCACCACATGACATTCCTCGGTACTCTGTCATAAGCTTTCTCAAGGTCGATAAAGACCATGTGCAAGTCCTTCTTTTGGTCCCTATATCTCTCCGTGAACTTTCGTATTAGGAAAATTGCCTCCATAGTCGACCTTCCAGGCATAAACCCAAATTGATTTTGGGTCACACTCGTCACTCGTCGTAGGCGATGTTCGATAACCCTCTCCCAGAGCTTCATCGTATGGCTCATCAACTTAATCCCCCGGTAGTTACCACAGCTTTGAACATCTCCTTTGTTCTTGAAGATCGGTACTAAAGTACTTCTCCTCCATTCATTAGGCATCTTGTTTGACTGCAAAATGAGGTTAAAAAGCTTAGTTAGCCATACTAGCGCTCTGGCGCCTAAGCATCTCCACACCTCAATGGAGATACCATCAGGACCCATTGCTTTACCTCCCTTCATCCTCTTCATAGCCTCTCCTTCATCCTCCCTTCATAGCATCCACTTTCTTAAATTGTAGTTTTATTGTACAATCTTGCCCACGGGTGGTTGAAATTTGGTTTTGTTGCGAGATCGGGAGCGAGTAATCCTGTTTGCCTAAATTTTTGTTCGCTTTGCCATTATTGATTATTTTCTTGTGAATATAGATGAGAAATAAAAGATGAGATATAAGCGATGACTTTCTTTTTGGTGAGAAGAAATCTGCACGTTCAAACCAAGATATGGAAAGAGAAAAGATTAATTGTTATCTTCGTTTACGGTTGAGTGCAGAATTGGTATATTGCACGTTTCCCGAAAATTATGCACGGGATTAATTGAGTGTGTTTTGAGTTTTAAAAACTGCCTATAATATATCATTAATTAATTATAATGATATCCAATAAACGGTCAATCAGGGCAAAAAATAACCACTTAACCTATTTAATTACAATTCATTTTGTTAAGTTATCGTAATATTGATATAAGGTCTGCTTTATTGTGTTTATGTTAATATTTTGCTCAGCAATCGTACAGTAGGTTATTTTCTCTTATTTTTTAGTACTTGTCAAATAGTCTTGCCAGGCGGGCCTGGGGCACTTGACTTAGGCAGCATGAGGGGGCTAGCCTGTTATTTTGGCAGTCTTAAGAAATATTTCGAGTCAACCATAACCAGCCTTGGGCCACTGGCTGGCCTGACCGGAAGTTGTGCCTGGTGTTTTACTAAATGATCTTTCTGTTTTGAGGACATCAAGGTTAATAAACTTGAGAAAATTACAATGTATACGATTGTACTTTCAATATCGTTTTAGTTGTATATTTATATTTTTTTTTAAATTACAAATATACTAGCTTTATATATTATGAAAATTGATTGGTGGTTTATTTTTTGTAATTAATTTCTAAATTGCATAGTTTCTTTTTTTTCTGTTTATGACAAGTTTATTAATGATATATATATATATATATATAATTTTATTTTGGATATGTTTTTTGTAAAAATGAATCACATGTAAAATAGATAATATTTATTATTATTATTATTGTTGTTGTTATTGTTGTTGTTGTTGTTGTTGTTGAGAAATTTCACTTCAAATCATGACTAATTACTAGTATCAAAACAATAAATTTATACTATTTAAAAAAAATACTTTTTTTATATTTTAAATAATTGCTATTTCAATTAAAATAACATTTGTAACTCTTTCCCTATTAAAATAATTTTTTCAACTTCTATCATATAATAGCCTTGGTAGATTGAAGTTTAATTAGATAAACAATTTATTAGTAATTTAACTTTTATTTATCTAAGTAGATACAACTGTTTCTTATGTTATATGTGCCATATAACCTAAGATATCTGAAGGATAAATAATTTAATATATAAAAAAATGATCATTCATAAAAAATATTAAAATTTTAAATATGTATTAAGTTAGTCAAATATTATAATTTTAATAGATACAATAAATAAAAATTTAAATCTACAAAGACTAATTTTCTAAAATATAAGAAATTTACATAGTACTAAGCGCACAGACCAGAAGTTAACACTTGCGAACTATTATATTATCCATATATAGATAACACTTCCGTATTTTGGTAAAGAGAATTATAGTTCGTTACTAATATCCAAGATATTATTGGAAGATGGACAATTATTATTGCCTGTCACATCATAGTTCATAAAACGACAAGAAACTCCTTGTCAAAAATAGGGAATTATGTGCATATAGTGAAGTACTAGACATAATAATCTATCTTATAGTAGTAATTTTTGTGATGAATAATTTATCGGACTTGTATAAAAAAAAATAAAAAATAAGAAGTAGATAGGTGGATAGGCTTTGCTGTAAAGCCCTTCTAATTATGATCCTTAAAAGTTAAAAGTAGATAGCTTTAAGATTGATCTATGTCATTTACAAATAATACATAATATACTCAAGCAGAATATCCAACTTTTATTTTCTTTGTTAATAAAATCAAGCAAAATTATGGGGAATTAGGGATGCTGAGTGATAATAGTGCTTGGAGACACTTTTTTTTTTTTTTTCNATCTTGTCTTTTAGAAATTATTTAATGTGACAAAAAAGGGAAATAAATTAGAATTAAAACTTGCTATTAAATGCAATATTGAACTATATTCAATCTCACTTGCATGCATCACATAACATAACAATGCTGCAGAGCAAAGATCGATCGTTAAACACATAACCCAAACAAATGTTGTTGTTAGAAAGCAAAGATCGATCGTTAAACACATTACCTATAACACAGATGTTGTTGGGTTGTCTAACCATCAGACAACCATATTTCATAAAATGTCGTACTTTTGTGTAGCAGCAAATTATTTCGTTCGTTCAAGAAGCTTGCAAAGGTAACATGTCCGCATTTCATCACTTTGCAATGAAGATGCTAAAGACAATAATATAATTACAACAATCCTTATGGCCTATAATTGTGATTAGTAAATGCATTGTGCAAAATCACATAAATTTTTTAAATGTATCATCCTGATTTTATCACATCTGTTTTCTCATCTTCCTCAAGTTGCTGCTCGGTCGAACTTCCTTCGATAATCTGTTTGTTGCGTAAAAGTGAACACGCTGTTAGATATCGTCGTGAAAATATAACTCAGTTTTCTTGAAAGCTTAAAACAAAACAAGAACCATATATAGAAAGTATGACTAAGCATAAGTAATGGAACTTTTATTAATTTAATTAAAATTGGAGATAAAATTTAAGATACTCCTGCAGAAACCAACAATAATGAAATGGAATGCTTAAAATTTCACAATTTTTTTTATAAATAGTCCAAATTAATAAATAGTCTGGTGATTGCATTAATTTTATAAAACATCCAGGAAAAAAAAACCTAAATTTAGGTCCTTGCGCCGGCTTTTCCAGTCAATGTGACCAGCAATATGTTAGTCGGCCGCCACATGTACAAAACAAAAAAACAAAAAAATGCTACCGGCTTTTCCGGGTGAAAGGACCCAAATTCAGGTTTTTTTCCAGTTATATGATGTTTTGAAAAATCAACGGTGTTGTAAAATCAACAATCAACGCAATCAACAAAGTGTTTATCAATTTGGTGTTAAATGTTAGTTACGGGACTAAATCTCTAATTTTTCTAGCGATAAACAAAACCGAAATCACATTACTCGATTTCCAAATTCAAGTTTCCAATTAGAAAACAAAACCTAACACCAAAATATATCATACTAAACTACCCAACGACATAATAAACATTCACATTTGCATAATGCATTGTAGAAAGGGGAAAAATAGTAAACCTACCGAGAAGTTGGTTCTATAGGAGGCGAGTCGTATATGTTGTGGGACCAGAAAGACATTTTCGCAATCTCTAAAATGGCGGCATCTCGTATACTGGAAACCTCGCTCGTCAGCTCTTGGTATGCTGCCCCGAATGCATCCCTCCAGAAACTCGGCAGCCGAGCAATACTGCTGTGTTGGTACACATTCCACATTTGCCTCACCATTTTCTCCCTTTCGTCCACATCCTATAGATAGTTCAGAAAAATCGAAACAATTGAACCACAGAAAAGTTCCATAAATCATCAAATACTAACTCATAGAAGTATTTTCAGCCAATAAAAAAAAGAACCGAAAATGAACCCCCTGAGAAGCACAGATTCAGCCAAAAAAATAAAAAAGGAAGGGTTTGCTTGGTGATTATTGATTATACAACTCTTACTTATTTTGGGTTAAATCTTTTCTAACCCCAAAATATGCAAACTTTGTCACGTTTTCACAGTTTTAGCTCTTTTAACCCAGCCTCTACAAAAGTAGAGATTATCAAAAAACTTGCTTTCAAGTTTCAACAGTGTGTGTGTGTGTGTGTGTGTTTTTCCCCCTTCAATTCCATAAATGGAAGCTCGTCAACATCTCAACTTCTAAAAAAAAGGTTCAATTTTTACACAGCTGCTTAGTGAAAAAAAAAAAATCTCAATTTCAGACATTCAATCACACAAAAACAACTCATTCTCAATCCAAGAAAATTCCAGAAGCTCCATCTCCATTCTCCACAGCATTCCAATACACAATAATTTATCAGATCTCGTCACAGTCCCTTCCTCTTATAAACTCAATAAACACAGAACAGAACAAAACAAAAGGGGAATATACCAAAAAACATAAAAAAGCTCAATACCAACAACAGCGATAAAAAAATAAATAATAATAATAATTACCAAAACATCAAGGTCGCCATGGGCGTAGGGCTCCAAGTCCTCAGACAATCGGTCAAGGTTGACGGCGGACGATTTCAGAGTGACGGAGCCGGTGAACATCGACCAGAGCGCGAGCAGGGTTATGGCGGTCAGGGCCCACAATTTGTACTTGCCCCTGCCAAACAGCCCCTCCAAATTAGGGCTATCCCTCTTGCCGTTGCCGCCGAAGCTTGCCGCCAAATTCGTGCAGCTGCTGCTGCTGGGAGCTGTTTGGGGCTTCTGGGCCTCTTCATCTCTCATCTTTTTCCCCCTTTTTTCCGGCTAACTGAGATACTAACAGTGATGAAATTCAGCAAGTTCACTTTTTTTCTTTTGAAAGAACAAATGGGGTTCTCTGGGTGATCGAGATTTTGTAAGTCTCAGGGAAAAAGGAACGGATTTTTAGTAAAATCGAGCCTTGGAATGATGAAAAGCAATGGCGGTGTGTGAGGAGTCTGTGACTGTGAGTGGCTGTTGTGTCTTAAATAAATGAAGAATGTGAGTGTGTTTTTTTGGCGATTAGAAGGTACAATCATAATGCTGCATGGGTGGTTGTACCTTGAGAAAAAAGGCCACCGACGGTTTTGGTAGGGGTCCGCCGGCGGTGAGTGGGTTTGACCCTTTTGATTATTTATTTATTTATTAAACTATTTATTTTCTTAATTATTTTTTTTTTCCTAACGTTGTACTGCTTGACATTGTTTAGGGATTATTAAATACGAGATACAAATTATTCTAATCTACTATTTCTGGTCATAATTAAGTTTGATATATTCAATTGACAAAGGAGAATGTTAATTGAGCAAAACTCCATATACTTATAATATTTTTTATGCATTTTTTATGTTTTAAAAATAAAAATTACAATAAATTATTTTATATTTGGGTTTTGTTTGCACAATTTTTCATTTCTATTATTTTTTAATAAAAAAAATTATTTATATTCTTATGAAATATTGGCTACAAATTCAATTTCTCCCAATATCTTGAAAATTATAGTGGAAAATAGAATCAAAAAATATGATGCATTTTCTTTTCTGTTTCAAGAGTTCACATACCATACAGCTCTGTTTGTCTCAAATTATATAGACTTTTCTTTTTCTTTTTCTTTTTCTTTTTTTCTTTTTTTTTTGGCTAATCAAATGATATAAGACTATGCAATAACAAATAGTGAATTTTCACTCATACTTGCAAGAAAGATGGTACGTTTTATTTTCCTTTTCTAGTGTTTACATAACATACAGCTATGCTTGTCTCAAATGATATAAGACTTTTCTTTTAAAGTTTTAATGCTAACAAAATAATATGACTTTAGATTTATGTCTTCCTAAATGGAATTGCTTTTATCTATCTTTTTAGTTTTCTTTAAAAAATACTGAAGAACGAAAGAGAAGTAGTACAGAATCTGCATGGTCATCAGATTCAACGTGACAGAAAGAAAAAAAAAAACAAAAAAATGAGGATATAATAATAAGGCTGAATTTAGAGCACTCAATTGTTTGTAAGTTGATTATTAAAATTGACAATATAATATACCTTTATCATAAGAATGGAAGACCGTACGCGGAGAGCCATGAATACAATTTTTTTTTAATTATTATTTCATATATAATATATGCACCTCGGATTTGTTTTATATTAATTTTCTTGCATAGCCTAATCTATTTTCACACTGACAATCGAAACAATTTAGTCTAGTTTATTCGAATCCATTAAAGAATAAGGTAACGACCACGACCCAAGTCTTGTCCATATTGATCATTTATATGCGCCTCAAAGTTGGGTCTATTCAATAGACATTAACGCGTCTATTGAGGTTCACTTGTCATGTGTTTGACTTACTATACGGTCTATACCACAAGACAATGATACTTTAATTGAGTTTGGTGTTATTAGACATTCATAATTTTTTTAACAAAATTATGTATTTATATTATAAAATATTAAACTTGAATCTATATATTTCTTAATATATGATTTTTAAATGTAAAATTATATGGAATTTGAAAAATAGATATCTCACAAAAGGTAGCTTAACATTAACATCATTTTAAATCACTGTGGTGGTGTTACGTGGTCTGATGTGTAGAATTCTAAAAGTACATGTCTAACAGTAGACAACCTAAAGCTAGCATAATGCAAATCACTACGATGTTATTAGGGGAAGAGTCGATGCTACATAGCACTTCCCCACATGTTTTTGTACCATTGATATGCACACACTCTCACGCACACACATGGGTGTGTGTGAAATCAATAGTGAAAAAACATGTGATGGCAGTGCTCTTACATGTAGCATGAAATTTTCCGTTATTAGGATGGTTAGACGTGCATACTTTTCCTAATAAAAGTGTATACTTAAATTATTAAATGTTATATTTTCTTTAAATTTACATAATTTCAACATGAAATATGTTATTTAATTGAAACATTACTAATGGATTAGATAGGTTAACATCAGCGTCAATGTAAAATCACAATGCTGCTATCAGACTATCTAATGGTTAGACATTCACCATATCCTAAAAAAACGTAAAATATCAATTTGTTCAATTTTATGCAAATGTGAAGTTTTTTATTTTGAAAACCTGCAACATATACAAGTAGTTATTGAGATAACAGATGCAGACAAATTTTTAGATATATTAACATTTGAAATTAATTTACATTTAGTATTCTTAAGAGGTGATTAAAAAATTATATTATTAAATCTCATTAATGTATTTTTTACATTAACTTGATTTAATTGATAAAGTAAACGATATCTTTAAAATTAAGGCAATTACTAAATGAAAAAATGAATGAGAAATTTAAATTAGGAAATACTTTTGAATTTGTGTGTGATTTCAAAAAAATATACATACAAATATTTTTCGTGTATATCTTGAAAGGATACGTACAAAATCACCTTAAAATCAGTATTATGTTTGTTCAACTGCCTAATGTATTCGTTTAGTCCAACATTTAATTTTTAAAAATAATTTAATATGATCGTTTAGTCCAACTTTTAATTTTAAAAAAACAATCTTAATATGTTTATTTAGTCCAATATGTACTTTAAATAATAATTTTAATATCACTTTCGCGCACGCACTAATTAGACATTGATGGCTAAAAAATTGAGGAGAACATATGCATTTTGCTATTTTAACAAAAATTTTATTCTTTTACAAAAGTTGATGTTGGGCCACTTAACAAGTTGGGCCCAGTAAGACAAACGGGAAATTTTCATGTGTCCTACATGAAATTAAATATATTGCAATAATACTATCCATACATAAGATATTGTGTTTCTACCTAATTGTGAAAAATATACCACATAAATTCCTAAGATTCAGTTACCTATAATTCGGACTACATGATATTCACTCCCCCACGATTTCCGTTCTGTTACTAAAAAAAAAAATAGCTTCATTAATATGGAATTAAATCATAAAAGTAACGGAAAAACGATACCACGCACGAGCACAACCACCCGAATGGCAGCCCTCCTCTCATCGGCGTCTTCGAACATCTCCGATAGCCTTCACGCAAGCCCACAAGCAGCCCGACGAAGTGCGAACAGAACCGCCATCTCCACCGCCGACTCGAAACACGCCGTCACCGTATGAATCGCTTTCCCTTGAGCCGACGGCACCCAACTCCACCGCCAGAGCCCGATGGTTCCCGTCAGACCGCTATTGTTCAATTGAACCGATTGGGTAATCATTTAGGACAGATCTTTGGGCCGCCCATCCCGGTTCTTATGTCGTTGTTTTATTCTGGCTAACCCTCCATTACCGAAGCCGGAAGCTTTCAATGAGAGTCGTAGTGCTGCTATGTACAATACTAATAGTTTTCAAATTAATGATTATTTCATAAAAATGTTGAACAAGTGAAAGTATATGTGCAATATATTTTGGTATTTGTTCAAAGAAATGAACTGCGTAGTTTTAAAATTTTTGGTTTATGGTCAGGAGTTTATTTTTATATGTGCAGTATAAGTATATTTTTTGTTTATGTTCAATATATTTTATCTTTATGTTCAGTTTATTTTTTGTTTATGTTCAACAATATATTGTTTGGTTTATGTTCAGTATGTATATTTTTTGTTTATGTACATATATATACCTAGAAACATAAAATAAGTATGATACCTAAAACATTGGTCTATACCTAAACAAATAGGTCTATATTTTTTGTTTATGTTCAGTATTCAGTATATATACTGAATATATAAACCATAATCTCGGTATATATACCTAAAATATAACCCGAAATAAACCTTACACATACATGAGAATGTACATTACTAACTGAACAAGAGGATAAACCTGTGTAAAACAATTGACAGAATAATCTAATTGAAATAAACCTTACACAATATACTTGAGGATAAGACCATTACACAAATGGGTCTATCTATGAAATCTTATATTATACCGACCATATATAGAACATCAGGTATTCGACAATAAATCTTATATTATACAGAACATATACTCCATATATACACAATATATACCCGCAAACATATACAAAATAAAAACTATCTATCAACGAATCAAGCACATCAAGTGTTCAACAATTATCCTCTGAGAAGTTTTTCATCCAAACTTCAATCATGGCCTTGGATTATTCTCTGCTGCGGATTTTCATCTCCGCCAAGCCCCGGCCGCCCCAGCAGGCATCCTCTCGCCAGAATTCTATTGGCGGTCAAAACGTCGTTTTTTTTTTCCTTTGAACACGTCCGCCATTAATGGCGGACTCGCGAGCCCTGGCTGCCAGTCCCAGTGGCGACATTTGCCGGCAGCGGCTTCACCGTCGAGGACGAGAGATCGAAGACGGGTTTCAATCCCCGGTAGCGGCTTCACGGCTTCAATCCCAGATTTTTTTTTATTAATTACAGCCGCCCAGCGGCAGCGGTTCTTGGCCGCGCGAATTTCGGCGGACAGCCTCAATGGCAACGACGTCGGCGAAGAGTATTCGGGGACCTCAATTCCCAGTATACTGAGTTCGAAGAAAACAACAAAACCATTCCAAACGGTGTACGATAATTCAAGTTCCCAAATTTTGCAAACAGATAATAACAAACATAACCAGTTACTTCCAAATTAATTTTTAATAATTTCAAATCCCAGAATTTTTGACATGAACAGAATGAACAAAAACGACGATTCCAAATTCGTTTTCTTAGTGAAGAAGAAAACGAGATCAGGGGGAGAGGAGAGAGACGTAATTGATGGGAAGTTACCATGTAAAAAGAAAATAAATGCAAATAAATATAACAAACTTAGTTAATTTATAAATAATAATATAAGAGGATGTAATTATGTAATATTTTCATATTGTTTAAGTGGAGGATGTAATTTCAGTTTTTAGCTTTTTATAGGACACAAATACCCTCATGAATGCCATATAATTCCCAAAATGTCTTTATGTGATGCTGGAAACTGGAAACCACAATCGCAAATACTAATGGCGTGCTTGGATATAAATATATCTGTTCAAAGTGATTTTTTTATTAATCAGAGTTGATTTTGAAAAAAGTGGTATAATTAGTTATCAGTGAGATTTTGAGTTTATATTAAAATAATATTTTAAAGAAA